AAACTTGACATCTACCTGTAACTGCTACAAACACCAGGTACACACACAGACACACACAGACACACACACACACACACACACACACACACACACACACACAGTACTGTTAGTGAGGCAGTTTGTCTGGATTGGAATTCATAGTGACAGAGACAGGTATAATCACTGATACTTCTATGCTACAATTCCATCCTCAGAATACTGGTTAAAAAAAACCCACGTCAGTCTTACATCACATGCTCTAGGGGTCATTCAAGGTGACAATATAGGTAACCTTTTAAAGAATGAATTAATTTAGTCCACTTATAAGCTCATTCTGTTCCTCTACTAAGTAGAGTCTAGTTGCATCTGCCTACCCATCACTTTTGAATTTCAGTTGCTGCACCTTCTCAGCTTCTCTTCAGTCTGCACAGAAAGCTTTTGTCATCAGAGAAAACTCATCATCTTCTATGATCTTCTAGAAGAGAAGATGGAGAAGGCTCCTGTTATGTTAGATTTCTCTTTCTATTTACTGCACACCACTTTGCAGTCCTCCATTAGACATGCCTATGTTCAGGTCCCTCTCTGCAGTAGCACTCAGACCTCACCTCTCCTTCCTTCTTCCTCCTTCCTCTGATAAACAATCTTGTCACAACCACATCCATCCACAGACTGTGCATCTAAGTGTGTCCTGCTGCTCAACTAAGCTGTGTTGGGTCTTTGCCTCATTATCCTGCCCATGATCAGTGTCAATGAATATACTGATGGCTTTTGACAAAAAGAGTTAGGAATGTTGAGAATTTCCTTATCACTTTGTCAGTGCTGGACAATGACTTTTGTTGCCTTTGCCTTTTTAATTTATACATGATTCATCATTCAATTCTGTACATATTTGCATGTGTGCATTCATTCATGAATAAACAATGTCAAGGACTCACACAATCTGAGAAGAGGATATAAATACATCCCATCTTCAGTCTGATGCACTGAGACATTTCTAGGATATATGGTCTTTAAATAAAGGATACAGTGAATTACTATCCTTTAAATTTTAAATTGGATGCTTTTCTTTCTCTTGATTTATTGCTTTTGTGAAGCATTGGCTTTCATATTTGTCAAACAATTTTGTGTTTGCCCAATTCAGAGAGCTGTTGGCTATCTCGTTGTGCTATATTTCATTTACTATGTTAGCCTACCCTATTTCCTTTTTTAAAAGATTTATTTATTTATTATGCATACAGCATGTATGACTGCAGGCTAGAAGAGGGTACCAGATCTCATTACAGATGGTTGTAAGCTACCATGTGGTTGCTGGGAATTGAACTCAGGACCTCTGGAAAAGCAGCCAGTGCTCTTAACCTCTGAGCCATCTCTTCAGACCCCATTTTTAAAAAAGATTTTATTCTATTATATATACAGCATTCTGTATGCATGCCAGAGAGGGCACCAGATCTCATTCTACATGGTTGTGAGCCACCAGGTGGGTGCTGGGAATTGAACTCAGGACCTTTAGAAGAACAGCCAGTGCTCTTAACCTCTAAGCCATATCTCCAGCCCCGATATCCTATTTCTTATCCAAGTTTCTTCACAGATTATCACCCTGGGTGGCATTCAGTTTTGTCCCTTCATTTGCTACATATATTGAAATGATCAATTTGGCTTCATATTTATGCTCTTTATTATATTAATTTATTTGTTTAGCCATGTTTAATCACCATTGTGTAGCTGAAGTTTTCTCCAGTCCTGCCTAGCCCACAATCAGGACAAATCCCTCTCACCCACCAGTCTGACAGCCACTCAGACCCAACCGAGAACACACACAGAGACTTATATTGCTTACAAATTATATGGCCATGGCAGACTTCTTGTTATCTAGTTCTTCTATCTTAAATTAACCCATTTCTATTAATCTATCTGTTGCTACGTGTTCCATGGCTTTACCTGTTGCCTTTACATGCTGCTCCCTGGACAGCAGGCTGGCATCTCCTCTCACTCTGCCTTCCTGTTCTCCCACTTCTCCTCTCTGCTAGTCCCGCCTATACTTCCTGCCTGGCTAGTGGCCAGTGTTTTATTTATCAATCAATCAATCATCCATAGAACTGTTGCATCTTGGAATAACATTGACTAAATCAATTTGAATACTATTTATCTATTTTATTTTCATTTTTTTTTTTTTTTTTTTTTTT